TGCATTCAAGCCATAAAATCAATTAATAAGACACCATCATGCATATAAACTGTAAAAACAATCAACAAATAACAGTAGATAATTTCCGATTTTGGCTCTATTAGCAATCCGTAATTAATTATGTACATTCTCTAAATTCACATAAAATATCGTATTATTATTTATTTGGACTTCAACTCTATGATAGGGAATAAGATGAGGGATGCTTACTCGATTTGATGCCCGAAAAGCCAAATTGTTCGACTGCGCCTACGAGTGATTATCAGATTTTCTGAATTTTTCTTCGAAAATTAAAATACGCTAATAGTACCTACAAATGTCCTAAATAAACCCAAAATTAGTCCAAGGAGAATTTTTACTTTTTTTGGTGGTTGGAGGTAGCTCCGGCAGCCCGGTGGGTGGCGATCGGCTCCCTTATCCGGCAGGAGGCTGGCGACTAGGGTTTGAGTTTGGTGTGATGCGAAATATTTATACTTATCTTGCGTAAATTTGAACTGTTCATCGCATTTGATCTCGATCTCCGATCGCGTTTAAAGAAGAAATGAATCTAGACCGTTCATCGCGATTTGATCTCGACTGTCAGATCGCATTGAAAGAAGAAACGAATCTGGGCCATTCATCGCGTTTAATTGCGACCGTCCGATCGTGCCTGAGGAGGGAATGAATCCGAACCGTCTACGGGCATGGAAACGCTTCCGGACCGTCCGATCATGGGGCACCGAGTTAGCGTGCTTGTCACGCGACGCGTTCCGATTCGTCGAGACTGCTGACTGAGCGGTTTTACGTGATGCAATTTTTCTTAATTGCGTTCTAACTCTCAATTTTTAATTTTTTTTTTCAAAAATACAATGCGAACCCAAATTTTCGCTTATTTTTTCTAAAATTATTTTTAATTTCGTCATCAACCTATTTTTTTTTTCATAATTTTGCATTAAATTAAATTTTTATAATTTTTTTAATTTTAAAATTAATCTCGGACCCGGGTATTAGATATGTTCATGTTAAGTTTGAAATTCTCAAGAATTATATAGAGTTAAATAATGAGATAATGACTAATTTTATTACAAAAACTAATATTTTCTCTTTTTAAAATGTTTCATGGAGAGAGATTATTATAAATTGCATGATTTTGTTAACGTAAAATGAGTGAGAGACATTCAAATTTATCTTGAGAAGTAATAAAACATTTGTAAATCTTTTTTTTTTTTTTTGAAGCGATTATATGTTTAGGTGTTACATCTCATTGTCTATTATCAAAATTAAAATAATACTACTTATTGCTCGAAAGCTCTGATAATTTTGAAATTATTTTTGGTGTTTTCTTTATTACCACAGAAAAAGAAATTATTAATTATATATATATATATATATATAAATAATTTTACATTCACAATAGGGAGAATGTTTTATCCGATAAGACTTAAACCTCTTTTCTTAAAATTTGATTATTAACTGACTCTCTCATTTTTTATTTTTGTTCTATTAATTAAAATCATAATTTATTTGTATATTTTTCAAGTAAAATCGTTTGCTTTATTTTTATTTGATTATTCCATAATTATCTGACACATATTATATATTAGAAATTTTATTTAACCCTATAAAAAAACTGAAATTAATTCATAATTATATTTTTTATGCAATAAGTTATACTAAAACATCAAGAACTTCTAATCTAATTTACTCTAAATAAAATTTATCAAAAATATTAAATTTATCTTAAGTTTTCATTATTTTATAATAATTTCAAAATGTTAAATTTATAATGGACATAAAAATCAGATAAATTTCATATGAAAATACTAAATATATATTTGTCATACATAAATAAAAATAGTAAATATATATTCTTTTACCTGAAAGAATAATAGGAAGTACTGAGTCGCCACATGCGACGGATGACGCGTCACCGTAACTTCAACAAAGGCAGACCAAAGCCGTCAAACAAGGGCTTAGTACCGTAATAGGACAAGCTTACTCCACTGTGTCCGAGAACACCGTAAAGTAAATTTAATTATTCGTCTCCTTCAGTTCCATAAAAATATTAAGTTACAGAGAAAAAGGTCTTTGAACCTTTTGTTTAGCTCTTCTTAGCTGTACAAAGCTCCCTCTCCTCCATAGTTACCACTCTCCGAAGATCTACAATCTCTCTCTCTAAACCAGAGGTTATTAATATGATTATGGTGGAGAGAGAGTCAGTGCTGGATCTTCATTAAGCATCATTATCATCGTCTGCCAAAAGTAGAACCATAAAGCTTCTTCCGTCTTCTTTATTTTTTTAAAAAAATTCCGCTTTGCGCTGCTTGCTTGATTGCTTTAACTTTGCAGCCCCGACTCAGGTCAGTTCTCTGTTCTTTTGTCTGCCATATTATCATTTTCTAGGGTTCCAAACAGGTTAGATTGTTTTGCTCTGTCCGTTGCAACTTTGACTTGTCTTGATTTCTCAGATCCGTTCGATTTGGTATTACAATCTTTGACATCTCTGTGGTTGTTGTCGTTATTCAGTTTGTTTAAGGGAAGATGCGTTTGTTGGTTTAGGTATCTTGTCTTAGTTTCTTCATTTGGACTTCAATTTATTGAGAAGCTATGTTAGGGGATGTCTATGGTGGAGATGTAAGAGACGTGATTTGTGGTTCACTTGGTTGATTAATTGGGCTTCGGTTTTGGAGATAATTCAAGTGGACTGATTAAATTTAGCTGTTTGCCTCTTTTAGATTTCTCTATGTTTATCATATATGATTCTTATTCTTAATGATGTAGGAAGTTGGGATGGCAAATAGATTGAAGGAAGACGAGAAAAATGAACGAATAATACGAGGCCTTCTCAAACTTCCTGATAATCGGAGGTGTATTAACTGTAACAGCCTGGTATGCTTCATATTGTTACTATTGTTTCTTCCGTTCATCCTATGTACTCGAGAACAAAAACTGTAACAGTTGTTGGCATTGTCAATTTTACTAATATTAGAATATAGAGGAAATGAATGCATCAGATTTTAGCATGTGGAAAGATTTGAATTGCATATTGTTTTATTTGGTTTTCATGGGTTTTTATTTGCCTTGCTTGAAAGGATCAACAATGTTAATTGATTGGTCCATACTTCTGGGGTTAGCATATGGTAGAGAAACAAGTGTGCACTTGGTAGTGCAGTAACTTGTTTATATTCTCATTTCTTTATGAATGCCGGGGTCTTGATCTCAATAATCAAGCCAGTTTAGTCAATAACGAAGATGATTCATCCCTGATTAAAGTTTAATCACTGGCAAATGCATACACGGGCTTGACATGGATCTATTTACCTTTGAATAGGGAGAGAATGAAGCCTTGAGTTTTATACACTTAGTTATCCGTAAGGATAATGTACTTTACTGATTCAACTGGTAGCTGGAGTAACTTAATGTTAATAAGATACTCAATGGAAGTATTAACAATTTTGGAATTTTTGTTTCTTGATCTCTTTCTTTCTGGCAATAATTTCTGTTTGTAACATTGGCTTTGGAGTACTCATGCTTAGCTGCTTACTGATGCATGGTCTTCTATAACAATTCTATCTTGTTTCTTTGAGCAGGGGCCGCAGTATGTTTGCACTAATTTCTGGACATTTGTCTGCACCACATGTAGTGGGATACAGTAAGTATCTGGATAAAACTATTGCAAATGTTCTTTTAAGCTTGTGAAGTTTGTAGCATGGCTTAGCCATTTAAAAATTTTTCCAGTCGAGAGTTCACACACCGCGTGAAATCAATATCGATGGCCAAATTCACTTCACAGGAAGTAAGTTCTCTGCAAGAAGGGGGAAATCAGGTATATGGCACTTCCTTTTCTCTGAGAGAACCAGAATTTTCCTCTGATATCCGTGTAGTACTCTTTTCAATTGTGATCAGTTATGCCCCTTTATCATTTTGACTCTTCTTTTTCACATATTATCAGCGTGCAAAAGAAATTTATTTTAAAGAATGGGATCCCCAGCGTCAGTCTTTCCCAGATAGCAGGTGATTGCTTATTTGTTTTATGTGTACTTTACTACCTGACTAATTACTATAATCCTCACAAATAGTTATTTTCCAGTAATGTTGAGAGGCTACGAGACTTCATAAAGCATGTATATGTTGATAGAAGATACTCTGGTGAGAAGAACTATGACAGGCCTCCAAGGGTGAAGATGGTAAGGTTCTCCATCTTCTTCCCAAACCTGACTTTCTTTTATTTGTTTATTGATCTTTGACAGAAGAAATTAGTAGGATATAACAGATATTTGACTAGGATAAATGCAACTCATATATTAAAATCTCTTGTTGCTATCAGATAGATATCTTTTTCCATAAAATTTTTTGTAGCAATTGGGAACTGTTAATCATGACAGTTACAAATCTCTCTTCTGGCATATTGTATAGGGGGACAAAGAAGAAATTTATGAGAACAGGAATCAGGGTGGATCTAGAAGCCCTCCGTATGAAGAGACATATGAGCGTCGTTACAGTGACAGGTCTAGTTCTGGAGGAAGAAGTCCAGTATACGAACCAGATAGTCGACAATATGGTGATTACCGGAGAAGCCCTGCTCGTCCTGAGATAATAAATGATTGGCGTCGTGATGATAGATTTGGAAATGGGAGGAAATTTGAAGATCATGGAGATGGAGAATCAAAACTAGAAGGCAGGTCACCTGAGCGTGTAAAAGATATGGAGTCATCCAGCCCACCTGTTGTTCGGCCTGTTAGAGAAATTTTGGGAGAGAATATAGTGCCTCTTCGTATTAGTGAGCCTCCCAAAGCCAATGGTGGGAGAGCTGTTGATAGCTCAGTACATACACAGGTGGGAGTTTCTATTGAGTTGTATTGCACAATATTCAAGATCTTCAAAATTCCATTTGGGTATTGGTCTGTGCATTTCGTTTATCTTTCTTTATCAGTGGTTTTTTGGTTCTCTGAGGATCATGGTGTAAAATTTCCATAAATTGGTTACCTTTATTTGGCAAGAAATAATGATAAATATTTATGGGTTTCTATTCGGTACTGTCCATAATTGATGTTCAAGTGATTTCATCGCAAGTTGTACTGTTCAGCATTCTTGTGTCAGCCATCACCCTTAGTTTTATGATCTGATGAGTATTAAGTTTTAATAAAAATTTTGCTATGATTTCTCGCTGCAGCAGCTTTAGGATACAAATGATCAGTTGGACCATTCAGATTATGGTTGATTTATGCTTTATTTCTAAATTGTGGTGCTTTTGCATCTCTCTCTGCCCTGCAGTTCATGAGATACTTGATAGACATGCTTACCATAATATATACTTCTTGATGTCATGGAACTTCTCAAGATGCTTTTTCTTTGGATTATGGGAAAACAGTTAATTAGTTTAATATCCTATTCCTTCTACTTGCAGAGATACTTGATAGACATGCTTACCATAATATATACTTCTTGACGTCATGGAACTTCTCAAGATGCTTTTTCTTTGGATTATGGTTAATTATTTTATTATCCTATTCCTTCTACTTTCAGAGAACTGCATCATCCGGTAGCTTGGGTTCCACCAACGAGAATCCACCAGAAGTTAAATTGGAGAGTACTAGGAGCTTGATAGATTTTGATTCTGATCCTGAACCTCTTCCAGCTGCTGTAGTTACTCAAGCACAACAAACAGCACCTGCTCAGTCCACTGTGCCATCAACAAGCACTGCCAATGATAACAATTGGGCGTCTTTTGATTTTGCCCCTGACACAAGAGTCTTGCAAGCTCCAGCAAATGCATATCCATTGGATTCTGTTCTTTCTCAGTTATCAGCTCCTGCAACTGTTCCTGGTCATGCAACAGGATTATCTAGCGGAGCTGGTGGTCCAATCGCTTCATCTCCGGGGAATGTGAATCTTTTATCAATTGGTGATCCGCCTTCTGTGCCAATGGGACACACTCCAATGTTGCCCTTTGGTGCTGGTGCACCTGCATCTCCACAAGTTAGCAGCTTTTCAACTTTTCCCTCTTGTGGTCCTTTGTCATCTGCTCAGGGATTAACCCCGGTATCAACTGTCAGTGGGGTTAATTCCTTCGTCAAAGTTACTGATCCATCACAATGGTCCAGCACACAGCATCAACAACCTTCTTTATTTCCTGCTGGTGGTGGTCAGTTCACTAGTCAACAATTTAGACCACCACTTGGTGGTCCATCAGGCAACCAGGTGAGCCTCACAGTCAAATGCTCCGGAGTTTATTTGGTGCTTTATTATATAATAGTTCTATTCACATATTTCTTCCTTGGTCCTTTGGCAGCCATGGAATATGTCAAATGTCTCAAATATACAAGGGCCTTTGAGCACAACAGCTGCACAGGTTCCTCAAGCCATCTCAAAAACTCCACAGCCACAGGAGATGACCTCTAGTGGTACACAACCTTCGCCTGAAGAAGCAAAGTTGACTGGAAGAAAAGAACTTCCTGAGGTACTGGGGGGAAAACAAAGAAAAACAAGTACTTATTGTTTTGCACTTCATATAAAGTCATTATTTATCATGTATTGATTCTTGAATTATCTGCAGGATCTATTTACTGCAACCTACCCATCATATCCTGCCATAGTTCCAGGGTGGCAAACTGGTCCACCCCGTGGCATGGGATTTAGAATGCCATATAACACTGTTATGGTACATTTATGATCCCAGCTCATGAAAATTTCACTATGTTCTATTTTACATTGTTGCTGGTCTAGTTGCTTTGGCATTTTTGTAAATATCTTTGTGTCTGTTGTGGCAGCCCTTGCAAACTTTTTCACAGCCATCAAAGTCGACAAACCCATTTGACTTCAGTGGCGAACAACCTCAACATGCTCAAACACCTCCACATACTCAAATGGTATTTGATTTACTTCGTTTGAATTAATATAAATGAAAAATTTAATTCGCACATTTAAAGAAGCTCAATATTGCTAATAAATCCAGCATAATGAGAGTCTTCTCTTTTTTTTTTGTTGTTGTTTCTTTGTGGGATTGGGGTTGGGGAATTGCTTAGAACTTTGGATTCTCTTAACAACTAGATATTGATTCAAGGATGGGATGCAATTATTTAATTTTTGAGTCCTATCTTGTTTTCCTATCATTACTTGTTTGCAAATAATCAATGCATATTTATCATGGAGATATTTGTGGTGTTTACTTCCAGCACCAGTACTGGAATTTGGAGGTATCTTAAAAATACCGAAGTATCTTTTAAAATACTAGTAATATTTTTGAGCTTACCTAAAAAAAGACTGCAATACCTCTACAAATCGCCATACCTTTAAGATCTTTTAATATCTAAAGAATACTGCTAGTATTATTGAAACTAGCTTCGTGAATCACTATGACACCTTAAGAATAGTACCAACAGTTCATCAGTATTTTTGAAGGTACCATGGTATTTGATATGGTATACTTTACAAATAGCCGTTGATATTCTTTACAATACCAAAATATTGTTATGCTAAGAAAATCATCTCAAATATCAAAATACCATAAAAAAATATCATTAGTATTTATTAAGTAATTATGATCTTTCTCCTGGTATGTTCAAAGTACAGAGAGATTTGGGAAGGTATGTTGATATCTATACCCTAAAAATGTTGACAGAACTTTTGGAGGTATTATGATATTTTATGAAGTGCCTCAGAAGATACGATTGATATCTTTTAACGTATTACTGTATTTCTTTTAATGACATTATTCAAAAATTCAAATGCTTTAAAGGTATTTAACATTTTTCCTTGTGTCTTCTAAGATGCCATGGAATTTTCAAAGTTATTTCTATATTCTTGAAGTACCTCTGAAAATACCAAAAGAGTACCAATACTTTCCTTTTTAAGGTTGTGTGACCTGTCTTGCATGTGATGCAGTTTCCGTCCATGGCTCCCCTGCAAAGTGCTCTGCCAAATGTATCACCACCTTCAGGCTTCTCACATACTTCTAATGTTGGTAATACCCTGCCGGCGTGGATGCCACCCCAAACATTACTTTATGCTTCTGGAATGCCTGCCCAAGCGCCAAATGTTGCATCAGCAATGCCCCCAAGTAAATCAATCTCTTTTTCTTTTTTCTTTTCATCTCACTAGAATGCTAGCTGTGAAAACTCTTCAACATGGTTAACCCTTCTTTAAAAAATTTCAGGGTACATGGAACCCCAATTATCCAGCAATATGCCACCTTCAAGGTAAGCTATCCTTACATAGTCTGATTGGTTCTTGTTTGTTTAATCAAAATGTCAGACACATGATCAAATTGAGTTGATAATGAGCTAACAAATCCCATTAGTTGATTCTTGTTTGGTAGATCAAGACACCATCCATATGATTGTGTTGAATGTATGAATGAACAAAGAACCAAAAAATACCATCTTCCTGGAATGTCTTTGGTATAGTTAAGTTGATTTAGACTTATTTAAATCAATTTTACAAGTGCATGATCGTGTTTACAGTCTTACAGAGTCTAAGTTGGCTTCTGCTGAGGTATGAAGAATTCTCAATCTTAATACGAAAGAATTGGGTTCTCTCTCTGTCTCACTCTCTCTGTCCATCCGTGGTAGATCTGATTGTTGCACATAATGCATGATGTGGATGTGCACATCTTTTGTTGGATACTGCCTGCCAAACCCAACTCATAAGGAAGACTTTTATTCCATACATGAAATTGATGTAGTGTAATTATCCATGCAACATACAGATTAAAGTGAGAGAGTAGAGAGAGAGAGAAAGAACACAAGAATTTTACCTGATTCTGAAATGCGCCTGCATCATGGGACCTCCTATGAGATTTGCCACTATTGAAGAACTTTCTCTACAACTAGGCAGGAAAAAACCCAAAATTACAAGAATAACTGGATAATAAAAAGCCTGTTTTGCAGATTCCCATCTCTTTGCTGGAACCTTTGTTTAACAGTATTAATATGAGCCCCAACTCAACAATTTTATGCACCCATCTTTTTCTTTAAGAACTCTACTGCCACGAGCTTAATCATTCAAATGGTTTGCGAGCACTATTAATCAATTCAAGTATGATAACCATCGTCCAGATTGCTATTTGCAGAATATTATTACCCCTTGTTTTTCCAGTTAAAGCATGGAATTATGAGAATTATTGAATTTCTTGCTTAAAACTAATAGTAGGTCCTTTACACAAGTAAAAGATCTGTTGTTATTAAAACATCCATTTATTTCAAGTTAAAATCTCAGATAGGAAAAAAATCTAGCAGAGGGAAGAAAATAATACTTAGAAAGTTAGCTGGTAGATAAAGATTACAATCTTAGAAATGTCTTTTGTAGTTCAGGATTCTGATACCGTGCTCATGGCATGGGTCGGTTGACTTCAGACAACACTAAATGCTACTATATTGTAGTCTAGCATTTCTAGTTATAGATCATCCCACCTGAAATACTTTTGAAGTTGCACCAGAAACATAACGTTATTTATCGCTGGTGTTGTCTCATTACACTTACTGAGGTTTTAAAACTATTCTGCAGACAACAAGTTGGATCCGTCCGTGGCGAGGGGGCTTCTTTTGGTTTTGTAAATATGGATCAACAGCTTGCCAGTAGATTTCCAGCTCCTGCTGCTCCACGTCCTTTCTCTTCTGTTGGAGGGAATCCGTTTGGATAAATACAAAAAAAATGGAATCTCTTGTCAGATGGTATCATAAGCATCAGTTTGTTGCTACCTATGAAAAGCTGGGTGGAAAGTTTCTGACTTTATTACTGTAATCGAATGATCCAGCCATATGAAGACCTCTCGTGTACATTCCTGGTGTAAGGATCAAATTCCACACTGCTTATGGAAGCTAGATATATGCAGGTAAGAAAAGGGGGGAAGGGGGAAGGGAGCAGTTTATAATGTCCAAAAGAATATACACTTGTTGAGGAATTTAGGTTATTTTTTATGCAGCTAAGGTTGTCCGTTGGTTATTTTTGTAATTTTCCATGGGTTGAACCCTGTTGCATGCTGCGCTGTTGTATGATTTTGCATCATCTTCATTATTTGTGGTGAGGTTTTCTTGAGTCTGTGAAAAGTTGCTAAATATTTGTCATGTTGGACACGGTCAGTTTGGTAATTATCATATTGGATATAGCCCCATCTCTCTTTCAGATATTGGTTGGTATTGTTGAAGAACGGTGATCTAATACAAGCTTGACATCGAGGAAGTGTTCATTGTTAAACTCAAATTTTGAGTATTGGATTGCTGTAATGCTGTTATAACAATTGGGAAAATTCCAGAAGTAAAAGGCTGTCTTTGAAGCAAATCTATAAGTATGGAATTCATTGTACGTTTAAAGTTGGTTCAGATACACAAATCTGTAACTTGTATTAGGAAAGGAAGATTTAGAAAATTTTATGTAGAATTAAGAGAATGCATTTTAAATTTGATTAGTTTCAGTGGAATTTGAATGTGATGTTCTAATTTTACAGAGAAGGTGTATTTTTATCATCTTTTAGATGCAGAAAGTGTGAATTTTGCAAGTTATTTTTATAAAATTTTGAGGTTTGTTGTAGACATTCTAAAATAACTTGGTCGAAATTATTCGGTTGAAATTCCCGTTAACCAAAAAAAAGAAAAGAAAAAAAAAAAAAGAGGTTATAGTCAAACGTATAAAACAAAAGGATTTAGTCAAAAACTATTTCTTTTTATTTTTAATAAAAGTGAAGTTAAGAGTTGAAAACATATTTCTAGAATTTCTAATTGTAGTTAGTAAAAATATTTTTGTGCATATTTATTAATTTAATATACTATTTATTTGAATTTTTTATTTTAAAATTTCAATAAAAATAAATTGAAATCGATACAAATACTTAGTAAAATATTTAATAAAAATAAATAATTTAAATTGATAGAGAAGATTTTAAGAGGAATAGTATTTAGAAGTTATTTTTTTTACTGTTACATAACGTTTTTCTTATTCAGTATTTATCATTATTTCTTAATGTTATTAATTAAATACAACATATATCACATAAAGAATATTTTTATAGCAAATTTTATATAATTTGCTACTTTTGTTTTTAAAATGTTTTTGCTTGAAGTCAGCTTTCATGAATGCATTAAACAATCTGCAACACAAAAAGTAGAAAATATTTGGTTTGATGTTTTCTTCTGAGCCCTGCCTAGCTAGTTTATTAATTATTTTAACTCTAGAAAAATTGAATGCTTATTTTTATTTGATTTATAACCAAACACCTTATAAATTAAAAAAATTCACTTTTTCTTTTGGTTAAGAAAAATAAAAAAAAACCTCACAGTCTCTATTACAAATTATAAAATTTTATGTTTTTTATAATTATTATACCGACTTTTCAACTTATATAGTTAATTCCTTTTATAAACACCTGCTATTCTGCTTAGAAGCATTATTTTTCAAAAGAATATTTCTGAAAAAGAAAAAAGAAATTGTGGTTTTGAAGGACCTTCTCCGTTCGTTTCCATTTTAATAATACATTTACACATATTGAATTAATATGAATAACTTGAATACTGATTTTTCACATTTCTCTTTTTATCTGAGCCAGAAGAATGCAACAAATCTGATTAGTAGACGGGATAAGATGATTTTACTTGCAACTCTTCGTAGCTGCAATTTAGTTTTGAAGCAACCATAAAGATCAATGGAGCCTCAGCCAAAAAAATTCTGGATATTCACCCTTCAAGTTTATCATGTTTGTTCTGTTGTTTGTCTTCTTTCCAATAAAATCGGAGCCACAAGCATCCATACTGCAAATGTACCATCTTCATTAATATTGCCACAATTTCTCTGACAGAGCTACTACCCTTAATAAGAAATAAAATTATGATGGATACAAATTTGAATATATAAATTAAGATTGATATTGTGTCTTAATGTTATAATATAAAAATATCAGTATGTAGAACTTGTGTTTATTTAGCGAGCAGGCAACCACAAACTAAAGAATGAATGAGAGAGAAACACATTCATTATTTCCAAAAATTTTATTTGTTAATTTAAACTTATTACTTTGTAAAGAAGGTCTCCTTGACCAAACAATATGATTTTTCTGTATTTTTTTTTTTTTTTACTTTTATATTCTAATCTGATTGCCCTTTTTATTCTTTTTCTATATGACACATAAGAGTCTCCGATTAAACACACCACCAAAGGGAATAAAATTCCAGTGATGGTTGTTGTGAGGTAGGAATGTAGTCATATTTGCGGGAGATATACAAGTATAAACACCTAACTCTTTTGTGTATTCTCTCTCTTGATTTTTGCGTGAATTCCTAACAGTTTACTTTGTGAAAGCTCAGTTGAAGAAAGAAACCTCGTAAACCGTAGAGCGATTAGTTTTACTTACAATAAACACAGACGGCCAGCCATTCATTCACAATCCTGACCCAGGTACTAGTCCAACCTACGTCAATCGTCCACCTGCAATACCAAAGGAATAATCAGCTAATTAATTCTCACCATTCAGAACGTAAGATTTATGTCAGGATCTTATATATATATGTGTGTGTGTATTTATATAGCATATGGGCCAAGTAAACAAAAAGATTGAATGCTATTTCTTATCAACTCAGATTGGTTGTAAATGTACAGATAATAAATTTAATCGTTCTCTATCAAACAGAACTTTCAGAAAACTTGGTTAAAATTTTATTTTATTATTGTATCACAGCCTTCTAATATAGGCATGCATTAGTAATAAATTAAGTCGTTTTCTATTAATCTATCATATTTTATCATTTCACATTAATGACGTCTAAATTCATTATTTTGTTGTGTCGTTTAGGGAAGTGCAGGAAATGCTTTTTTAGGACATAACACGTGGATCATTAATCATATGCATAAACCACGAATAAAGCTAAAGAAGGATACATACTTCCTCATGGCATGATGAGTGTTCCAGCCAACTAAGAGCATGGCGAAGTACATAGATCCCGTGGCAAAAACAAAATGGAAGAAGCCATAACCATATGGAACAGCATCTTCATCGGCTTGATTCTCGTCCTTCCTGAACTGCAGTTGTCGTCAGACATTTTCATGGAGAATGAAAGTAAACCTGGAAAGAAGCTTTAAGTTGAACTAACCTGAAAGCATTGAGAATCTATTCCCGTGGAAAATGTTGCAATAACCATTGCAAGTAGTGCAACAATAAAACTCTGTCAAGTATGATGAATATGAATTTATTTGTTGAACCAACTTGAGAAACCATGATGAAAAGTAGTCGTAGTAAACTTATCCTGGCTAGAGTCAAAATTGTATTGAATTTTTCTTGATTTTGTATGTTTGGATCACATAAAAGTTTTAGACCGTCAGAAGTTATTGCTTAATAAAGTAAGAGAACAGCTATCATTAATAAAATTCAAAACTAAATAAGCTAGCAAGAAAACAGTAAAAAACTTCATAGAAATCTTGAAAGCTTCAAAATATTACTATAATGGTTAGCCAATCTGTCCTTGTTGAAGCTTCAGCTTTTCTATTGCATTTTTCACCTGCTGGTTCACTGTAGGACAAAACGAAAAATAAAAAAGAAAAAGTAAGTTGAGGATGTAACAAAGGAAATGGAAAGCAATAACATCTCAACCATCTTTTGAAAACAATGGTAACTTACCATTTTAATTCCCAAATATCCAAAAGTTTTTTTCTGTTTTCATTGTAACTAAAGTTATGTAATTGTTTATTTCAATATCCTTTTATACTTCTGTGAAAATTTTGACAAAAAAAATACATAAATTCTTATGATTTTCACTCATAAATTGTTCTATAAAGTTCAAAGTTATAATAATTAATTATTAGGCTTAATGACAAGAATTAATTTTGTTATAGTTAAGTTATACAGATGATAATAACAAATACCAATAAAGACTGCAACAACTATTAATTTTTTTTCTCAATTATTACTCCTAAGTATAATAATTATATTTTAAAGTCATTTTTACGTCATTAAAATAAAATTTTGTAAAAATTTTATCAAAGAATAATGTTTTGAAACAACTTAATAAAATTTAAGTATTAAATTAGAACAAAAAAGAATTTTTAGATTGAATTGTTGCATAGTTCATAGCTCAAGGACTAAATAAATAGCTAGCTTTAAGATCAAAAGATTATGATTTCAAACCCAGCATAAATCAGAAATTTTCTGGATAATTTGTCTCCTCAACAAGCAGAAATGCTCAATTTAAGTAACATGATTTTATCTTTAAAGCGAATGGATAGGAGTTTGTACTAACATGATTTTATCTTCAAAGTGAATGGACACGGGTTCTGTTAATCTAAGATCATTATAATTGGTATCTCTGAGTTTGTGCAAAACCCCATTGGTTGAGAGGGAGGAGGAAAGAAGGAACCATCTTTTTTTGCTTGTCATCTCGTTTGGATTTACTTCTATATGCCCCTCCCTAATTTTCTGATTGAGCTAAAACTTGACAAGGCTCGAGTTTGAATTAAGCAAGTACTTCAATTGAAAAACATTACGACTAAAGCTAGGAGCCACTAAGGATGCAATTAAACCACAACAAAATTCAAATAGTACATTCACTTAAAGAAAGGAATACAAGTTTTAGAACACATGCCTTCGAATGGCACACCAGCAGATGAATACCACATAAAGCCCCATGAGCCCAGGAGTCAAGAACCCAGCATTCACCTGTTTCGGCGTGAAATAAGTGAACTTTATGTCATTGTAGTTTCAAGAAACATGAAAGAAGTTGATATGGACTTCTTTTTGAAACAAAGCTATGCAAGGGGACAGAGACTTGGACTTAAGTCTATGCTCAAGCTGGGAGATATACCTATCACTACAATAGACCTGCAAATGCAAGATTGACTAAATTGAAAGCAGAACTTACTCTTGGGTGGAGGGAGACACTTGTCATCAGTTGGAGGAGCACCAGAGTCCATGTGATGAAGAAAATGTTTAGGAGGCAAGATGAATCAGGTGCATACCAGATGTACATCATAATGATTCCCACAATGCATATAATATAGGCAACAGTTGCAATTAACATTACATGGATGTGGCTGCAATAAAAATCTTTTTTAAGTGAGCTGATATCCAAGTAATCAAACCGAATTTTTGGTCAAATGAAATTTGTTTTAAACTTTCAAGTGATTAATTGATAGGAAGGTCTGCAAAGAATTCTCTAATTATAGGAAATAAAAACTATTTGTAAGTGCTGCAAGTATAACAAGTACATTGCCCCATCATGCTATGAATTTGATTTACAAAAGTTTGACATGTAGCTCCAAAATTTTGTCAATCACTAGACATTAAGACGGTAATTCTTTAAAAGGAGACTGGATTGGAGATACAACACTATGTTGCATACAATCTCATATTTCTTTTCTATTTCAATCTGCAAAGAAGAAACTCAGAAGGTTGTTGTTTTTTAGAGAAAAGGAGCACATAAAAGCCAATCATTTTCACATATACAAAGAGTTTTCAATCAGCAGTAACTTCAGAATGGGCCAAGACTTACCATCTTGCTAAGTTTTTTTCAGACTGACAACAAGCATTGAGCCATGTGATGAAGCTGATAACGCTTATTAGCTGAATTAGGAGAAAGACCCTGAAATGAATTGACAGAAACCCCTTAAACATAAGGCTCTTAGTTGTCCAACTAAAACAAAAATTTACCAGCTTCTTAATCATGCTTTATAGACAGGAATTCATTAACAGGAATTAACCATACCCGGCACCAAAATGTGCAATCTCCCCTATCGAATAAAGGAGGAAAAAGAAACTGTCAGATTTATGATGTCATCTGGAGATTTTGAATTAAAAATCATAGGTTTGTGATCATAACAATTAAGTGAAAAATCAAAACAGTTGTGGACTTCAGGGAAATCGAACAAACCATATAGCTGAATGAAGGAAGAAGGAAGAAAGAAAGGGATAACGGTGAGGGTAATCCACAATAGAAACTTCACAGACCACCATCCAGAGTGCCATGAGTCTCTTGAACCATACATCTTTGAGGTGCCAACAGCTGACATGAACATTACAAAATAAAATGACTAACATAGTTAAGGCAAAACCTGATCTCCAGCAGTAAGGAAAGATAACATAACAGTCTGTAATTTTAAGATATTGCGTTGTGCTTTATTATATAACAACTTTCCAAGTAAATTTTATAGCAAAAATCGAGGTATCATGTATGTCTAGTCCAGACGGCTTATGTGATCTCTGGTACATCAAGAACTTTGGATTCAATTCGGTTTTGTATCATCATATGCAGTCTGTATTAAACTGTTAAAAACCATCAGAAATCCTATTCTTATATGAAAGGATACGAAGCATCCCAAGCTCACGCGCAGAACACCTTCTGTGCCCAAACAGTCAACCCCACCTTTGCAATTCTTTAGTTCTGCACCCATCATTTAACAAGAAACCAGATTAACGTCACAAACAATACACCGATTATGGTTTAAGACTAAAAATAAATTTTTTTAAAAAATATATGGACTAAAATAGCAAAAAAAAACATGGTATAAGAATCAATTTGAATATTTGAAATAGTACAAGGGCCAAATTAGTATTTTGACCTATTTAACAAAGTATTATCAGATAGTTTGTTGAACAGAAAAGAAATTCAAAACGATTTCAAACAAGCAAGCAATCTTACTTTTCATTTCTGTCAAGGAAGCTCGGCCATAATCTCGAACAACCCATGCTAACAAATTGGCAATGAGAAACATCAAGCCATAAACATATCTCGCCATCCAAGGATTAGAGCCATTGCGGAATTGACTGAACCATGAGTCCTCCTTAAACACTCTGTATCTCCCATTGTTGGTTCTGCTGCTTTGACCGCTTTCCATTTCCCTTCAAAAACAGCAGTACCCTACTCTTCATGACATAGGAGCACCGATATCATATCTTGTCACCTGGATGACCTAGATTACAGTGACGTTTTACAATCATAGAAGATCTTTGTCCCGTTACCTAGAAATCAAAATTGAAATGATTATGACTGATAAAAACATCACCCAGGTCATTTAATTATATTTAACGTCGGCCTAACTTATCTAAGGTTTGGGCTTTTCAGAAAGTACCTGTCTTTTCTTCTGCGCTACTCAAACATCAGTTCCACTCAATCTACATTCTGTAACATAACATGCATGAACCAAACTGCTTGGCTCCTTTGCCACTGATTTATTGTGGCTGATACAAACACACAACCTTATTTTGCTAAAATGTAGATAAAACAATCATTTGAAAATATTATTGAAACAAGAAGCAGCGTTGCGCCTGAAGCTTGTAGCTCAGACGGTTATATATATATATATATATATATATATATATATGTATCTATAGTATTTACTCCCTTACGGAGCTTGTGGACGTGGGTTTTGATGATCCACCACTATTACAAATAGTAGGAAAAAAAAAAGTATGCAACTATCTTAAGATAATCGCTTTATTTATGTTTTTACCCTCTCGCTGCAAATTCTTGTTACACTTGAAAAAGTCCTACTTCTCGACAGAAAGCCTTTTTGTTGATCGGCACAAATGAATGCGTGCAGTGCACGACAAGATCCAGTTTGGGTTTTATGATGATCTAACAAGAGCTGATGGATTCCACCCAGGCTCAGCGCCTAAATAAAGCTTAATCATTGCTTTTTACAGCTCTATGAACCGTGCACTACTAAAAACAGAGCTAGCCACAGAAAAGATTCTGTAACTCACTTTCTTTTTCTCGGTTTGAATCGCTTCTTTTTCTAGTTCAATTCGGACGAAAAAACAATTGATAGACAGAAATTTCTAAATCTTTGGTACACTTCTCGGGAAGCGTGTAAGCAATTTTAAGGGTGAAAGGAATCTTTCCTTCCGTAGCAAGTCCTCCATGGCCTGCGCAGTCTATAAAGAAATCTTCAAATATTTTAAAAAATTAAAACAACTGCCTTTAAGACTTATGTTACTTTACCTTCTCTCTGGTCAGTGATAAATATTCACAATATATATATATATAGCATGGCCGTAAGTCACTGGCCCGATGGGTCCATCGTTTGAAAATCGGTTCAAGCGGTAAGGACACCTCTGTCTCTAACCATTTTTTTCAAAGCACAGGAAGATAATCTTGTTAATTAACTAATAGAATATCCGTTTTCTGGGAAGATCTTGGATGAAAAATAATAATAATAAATAAATAAAATTTTTGGCCATACCTAAGGAGACTGTAGTCCGTAGATAATCTGATTTCTAGATGAAGAAATTTGGTAAAGTTGTATAAATTGGCTGAAAAACGATGAAAATTTTGTTGGAAAATAAATGAAAATTTAGAAACGTTGTCAGTTTTGGATGTTGTAAACATAAACTAAAAAGGTAAAAATAGAAACAGAAAAACAGAAATTCAAATTTAGTATTCCATGGAAAGAAACAAAAATAAAAGGTTCACTGAGGTAGTAAGAGATTCAGTCTTATGGACGTGGCTAAGCCTGAGTGATATCATTTTCCCGGAACCCAAACAGCAAATACACAGCAAAACCGAAATAATAAATAATCAAATTCAGCAATCAAAAAACAATCCACCGGTTATTCCATAACCGATCACGTGATGATCGTTTAAAAATTCAACAAAACAATTACATGCATCCGTCTCTCTCCCTCCCTGTAACTCGGAGACTTTCAAAATTCAAAACAAAACAAAAAGAAAAAGCAGAGCGAAACCTTAATAACAACAGCAAGAAAAATGAAAAATAATCAGGACAAACAGATAGAAAATGACTTAAACTTGACAGCAAAAGAACCAGAATGCAGGAAGTGGAATGCACCTGTGAAGAAGACGGAGGTAGAAGCTTGAGAAGATCCAAACTGGAGAATGTTTCTTCAAGAAGCTAATAACATTGTCTTTAAAAAGTGTAAAACAAGAAAAAATAGAGAGATTTTTATATTTCGTTCTTCTTTTACAGTGGTTTTCAAGGTAAGAGAGAAGGAGTGAAGGGACTGATTGCTTTTGGAGCTTTTTCTTTGCTTATGTGCTTTCTCCCTTTCTTTTTTTTCTGTTTACTTATTTTTTCCCGCCGTTAGCTTCTGTTTCCGTTCCAGTTCGTACTTCGTATCTTTGGAGGCAAATCTGTAACTCCGTCGGCTACAATATTATTATTCTTATTATTAACGTCAGGTAATTAATCAATCATTAGTCATCATGTTCTCGTTAATTACTTACCGGAGTTAACGTGATTTCATAAATTTTTTATGACAATTTCGTTCCTACCAGAACTGTCCTTGCTTAAATAAGAAAATTTTTTAAATAGAAAAACTTAGAACTTATTAGAAATTAAAAAATATATATATGTTACTTTTATATATTATTTTATATTTTTATAATTTCACATATATAAATATATTTATAATTCTAAAACTAGTTGAACGGATACGGATAATTTAAATACTCAAATCAAGATAAATACAAAATATGTCCAATTTGAGTATAGAGTTAGTTCGATATGATAACATATAATCTAAATCATATTTAGGGCAAGCAAAAAAATGGTCTTAAATCATTCCATTACCATATATGTAAAAAATTTAATTTCTTATTGATAGTAGCTTAAAACGATATTATTATCATTTATTTTTGGATTGTTAAATTTAATAGTATGTTATTTAATCCGAACTATTTTTTATATTTTGTTACAGGACATGATATAAAGACAAAATGATGAAAAACAATATGAAAAGATAAAGAGTTCGTGAAAAGAGTCATCGGTCCAAAAATAAGCATTCGGCAAGGATTTGGTCTAGCAGACAAACAACTTAGTCTTGAGCAAGACTAAGAGTCGCACACAATAACATATTTAAATTAAAATGTGTGCTTTTCAAATATGAAAAAATATATCATTTCAGACAAGATCTTAAGCCGAAAATCAAGAAAAAATATTATGAAAAGCTTGTGATCAGCCAAAAATTAAGAAAAATTATCATAATCAACAAAAGAAAAAAAAAAACCCTATCCCCTCTTCTATAAAAAAGGCGCCTGCTAAGCAGGTTCATGATCATTCTTCTTCCCAATGCTGCATAGAGTTTTAGTGGCAAATTCTACACTCTCTTTTCATCATCTTCCTTCTTTTTTATCATAAAAAAAAAAAATATCTTTTGTATTGAAATCTATCATGAGTGGCTAATTTATTTCTTTTCCTAGTTGATAGATCTAGTAAACTTTAGCAATGTATTTGTGAGATCTAATATGTGATAACTTAAAAATACTTCGAGTTAATTTTTTATGTTTAATATGTTTAATTTAGCATTTATATGTGTTTAAAAATATATAATAAGATTAAGGACATAATTTAGAGTCAAACGAAAAAATGATGGATAATGATGAAGGAGCTAAAATAAGCATGAAAAAAATATGAAAAAATGTGGGAACATTTTAAATGAAGTAGTATAATGAAAAGTGGTAACTATTAGATAAAATGACATAAAAGAAAATGACAATTTTTAGATGAAGTGACATGTAAAAAATAATAACTTTTAAATAAAATTATATCACAAAAAATGGCAAGTTTTAGATGAAGTTACATGTGAAAAGTGGTAATCTTTTAGATTAAGTAACATGTTAAAAAGTCTTTTAGATAAAACGACATGTGAAAAGTGGTAACTTTTTAGATGAAGTGACATGATGAAAAGTGACAACTTTTAGGTAACATGCCACCTTTCCCTCGTGGCTCTCTACTCCTATAAATAAGGGATAGGATAAAAGAGGAAGAGACATTTCGGATGAGAGAAAAATAGTAAGAAGCATATAAGTGAAAGAAGAAGAGCGAGTATGAAGTGTGTGATTTTTGAGAGTATTTTGAGGTTTTAGATAAAAATTTTAGAAAAATTCTGCTAAATTTGTGAGAGCGGAGAAAGAGAAAGAGAAGAGGAATAAGGCTCACGATTAAAAAAAGTTATAAACCATTAGAAATGTAAGTATTTTCTTAAGTTTTGAAGTTCAATTTCTCTTTAATTTTTTAAATTAGTTTTTGAGTATTGTGTTGGATATTTTTGAGCAAAAAAAGTGACCTAAAATCATCTCAAAATTTCGCTGGATTTTTTAGACAAAAGAGTCATAAATAAAGTCAGAACTTTACTAGAATTATGATTACGATTGCTAAGGACCTAAGGTAAGCAGATATTATGGATTCATAGCCTATGTAATTTTGAAGTATTCTACATATTTTCAGTATAAAAATGTGCAAGTGTTTAATTTATCTTTCGTATTTGCTAAGTAAGTATTTGTTAAAGTTTTACTTTGATATAAGTGTTATTTTGCTTTGTGATTTTGAAATGTGATTTTGATATGTGTGCCACTCATTATAGAAAGAAATTATTTTGAAAGCACTTGCATTATCTTCAGTATGTCCGTACATAGCCATTCCATGTTCGTGTGTATTGGCATAGTGATAAATATGTACCCATACATAACCATTCCGTGTTCGGGTGTATGAAAAAATAGTCTGATATGCATGCCTTAACCGTTCCGTGTTCTGTGTGTAGTAGTTTTTCAAGGTACTCATGTATGTCGCTCCGTGTTCAGGTACATAAGGAACTAATAATAAGTATCTGTGTCTATGCATAATGTTTGGTACCTGATTGCTTCTTTATAATAGTAATGAAGTATACAACATGAATGTGTTTTTTGATTTGTGCATTTATCTTCTGCTTCATATCTGTTTTGCAAAGATTATATAATATAGGTTTTGTTGTGTGTAAAAAATTATATATTGCATATACTATGCTGTAATTTCATAATATCACTTATTGAGATATTTTATCTCACACCCCCTATCAGCCTCCAGATATTGAAGATATCGCTGCAGAGTGAGCGGTGATATAGGAAAAATTTTTGAAGCTAGACTCTGATATTAAGGTTACTGTTTCGTACTTTTATTTAGTAATGTAGGTAAGTAAATTTAAAGCATTGTACATATATTTATGTTTTACAATTAAAGGATGTAATGCTTCTGCGACTCTTTTATGATTAATAAAGGTAAGTTATTTTACTTAACTCAAGTGTATGTGATTTAAGTAAGTATGTTCTGGTCATTACCCTATAAGACGGGGTGTGATTCGTGATAAGTGGTATCATAGCACAATTCCAAGACATCCTTTGAATACGAGGCTTAGGATTATATGAGACTTAATAGAGTTGTGAAACATAGGAAAATGCATATAAATTTGAATTTCATGAATGTAGAAAATGGCAAGGATACCGAGAGAGTAGGCACATCAGGTTCTGGAAGACCGGATCGAGCAGAGTCTAGATAAACTCATGTGTGTAGTTGAAGGCTTGTCTATGGTGGTAAGTCAACACGTAGTCCACAGCTAAAGTGTTACTAACGGTAATTATACTAGTACCAGTAACACCCAGCTAATAGAGAAAAATTATGAAAAACTCATTAAAAGATTTAAGAGTATGAACCCACCATCATTTGCTGGAGCAACCGATCTGATATTAGCCAAACAGTGGATCATGGAGTTGGAGAAGATATTCAATCTTCTCAGCCCTACTTTAGAGCAAAAGGTACAATCAGCCACATTCATGTTCAAGGGAGTTGTAGAACACTGGTGGCATCTGAAGAAGGGATCCCTGAGGACACCGATCATTTAGGAAGTATTCGAAGCAACATTTTACGAGAAATATTTCCCTGACTTTGTTCAAGAACAAAAACAAATGGAGTTCCTAGAGTTAAAGTAAAAAAATATGAGAGTAACATACTATACAGAAAAGTTCATAGAATTGGTTCAGTTTGCACCCAACATAGTAGCAGATAGAAGCCTAAGAGCCAGGAAGTTTCAAATAGGCTTGCGTAAGGAGATCTGGGATAAAATCTCAGTTTTGAAGATTAATGACTACTAAGAAGCACTAGAACGAGCCCAAATTGCAGAAGATGCTACAAGCTCAATCCCACAATAGATCCAACAAGCTTGACCATTTATACCAAATAATAAAAGCAAGGCCCAAGAGCCACAACAACCTGATAAGAGACAGAAGACGGGTTCATAATTCTCCGAGAGCCCTAGAACAAGAGCCAGAGCAAATCTGCCCTCATTGTGGAAAAAATCATGGTAGCAGACCCGGCTACAAGTTGACAAATAGATGCTTCATATATGGTAGTACTCAACATCATATCAAAAGTGTCTTATCAATAAAGAACAGACCAGACCAATAACTCAAGGAAGAATATATGTCATTACAGAGCGAGATGCTCAAACCTCTCAGGACATAATCCAAGGTATGCTCACTCTCTCTAGTACCATGGCTAAAGTTTTAATAAACTTAGGATCTACATATTTTTTTGCATCACATCAGTTTATTCAATATTTGAACATTGAACAATCACCTTTAGATTATGTATTGGTAGTCTCTACCCTAGCTAATAAGGACTTGATCACTAATACAATATGTCGAGCATGTATTGTAGAGATTGCCAACAGGGAGTTACTGGTAGATCTCATACTCCTGACATACATGATTTTGACGTCATATTAAGAATGGATTGGTTAGCAAAGTACTATGCCAATATAGATTGTTATGGAAAGACGGTGACCTTTAATTTTTCTAATGATAACGCCTTCAAATTCAAAGGGATTAGGAAGCCCCAACATCCATATCTCATATATTGCATTTAAGCTCAGCCATTACTTGAGAAGGGATGTGCAGGGTATTTGGCTTACATAGTGGAGAAACAAAGTAGAGAAGTCAATCTACAATAGATACCAGTGGTGAAGGAATTTTCTAATGTTTTTTAAGAAGATCTTCCAAGTCTACCTGCAGACTAAGAGATCGAGTTCTTTATTGACTTAATTCCTGGTACGAGCCCCATCTTTAAAGCTCTGTATTGAATGGAAAAAGTCAAATTAGAGGAACTTAAGAGACAATTACAAAAATTATTGAATAAGGGTTTTATTAGACCAAATGTATCAACATGGGGAACTCCAGTACTATTTGTGAAGAAGAATGATGGTACCATGCGATTTTGTATCGATTATAAGCAACTAAACAAAGTAACCATAAAGAATAAGTATGTGTTGCCTCATATCGATCATCTAGGCGACTAACTTCAAAGAGCTCAAGTATTCTTAAAGATTGATTTTACATTCTGGATACCATCAACTAAAGATTAAGAAAGATGATATTTCTAAGACTGCCTTCAAGACTAGGTATGGTCATTACGAATTCTTAGTCATACCGTTTGGTCTAACAAATACTTTTGCAACATTAATGGATTTGATGAACATAGTCTTCCAGCCATTCTTAGATAAGTTTGTCATCGTCGTCATTGATGATATACTGATTTATTCATGGAGCGAGGCTAAATGTGCAGAGCATTTGACAATAGTGCTCGAGATACTTAGGAAAAAGAAGTTGTATACCAAGTTTAAGATGTGTGAGTTTTGGTTAAACGATATTGCATTTCTCGGATATATAGTTTCAAAGGATGAGATATCAGTAGGTCCAACTAAGGTAGAAGCGGTAGTAAACTGGAAAAGACCTTCAACAATAACTGAAATTCAAAGTTTCTTCGGTCTAGCTGGATACTATAAGAAGTTTATTGAAAGTTTTTCAAAGATTGCTACTCCATTAACTCAACTCACAAAAAAGGACACAAAGTTTGAGTGGAATGATAAGTGTGAACAAAGTTTCCAAAAACTGAAAAAACGGTTGACAGCAACCTTAATATTGACTACTCATAATGGTACTAGTGGATTTTCTATCTACAGTGATACTTTAAAGCAAGGATTAGGATGCCTGCTAATACAATACAAAAAAGTGATAACTTATAGTTCTAGACAATTAAAGAATTATGAGCAGAATTATCCTACCAATGACTTAAAACTAGCTGCTATAGTTTTTGCCTTAAAGATCTGACGCCATTATTTATATGAAATTTTTTTTGAGATTTACACAAACCATAAGAGTTTGAAGTACTTACTCTTACATAAAGAATTTAATATCGCTAAATAAGATAGATGGATTTACTTAAGGATTATGATTACAAGATCCTATACCATCCAAAAAAAGGCAACATGATTGCAGATGCACTTAGTATGAAGGGTACTTGCACTCTTGCCTACATGATGGCCTCATAGTAGAGACTCGTAGAGGAGTTCCAAAAGTTGAACCTAAATGTCCGACATAAGAGATCAGGTGGATACCTAGCCAATATAAAAATATAACCTATTTTGGTGCAGAGAATTAGAGAAGCCCAACAATTTGATCTTACCTTGAAGTCAATTATGGAAGATGTTAGCAAGGGACTTAAGACAGAATTTAGACTATTAGAAGAAGGTGTATTAAGGTTTGAAAATAGAGTATGTGTGCCGAATAATAACGGTCTAAAAAATGAGATATTAGAAGAAGTGCACTACTTTAAATTTCCTATGTATCCTAACAACATCAAGATGAGGAACTTAAGAACAAAATACCAATGGAGTGGGATGAAAAAGGATATAGCAGAGTTCATTTTAAACGTCTAACGTGCCAACAAGTGAAGACTGAACGTCAGAGACTAGCAGGACTACTTCAGCCTTTGCAAGTAACAGAATAGAAATAAAAACATATTACCATGGATTTTTTTATGAGTCTACCGAACAAAAGATCACAACATGATCCTATTTGGGTTATCGTTTATAGATTAACTAAGTCTGCTCATTTTTTAGCTATCAAAGTGAATGATCCATTGGACAAATTGGTCATACTTTATATTAAGGAGATTGTGAAATTACATGGAATTCTAATCACAATTGTCTCATATTGAGATCCCCGCTTTACATCAAGATTTTATACCAATCTACAGAATACTATTAAGGACCAAGTTATCTTTTAGTACGACTTTCCATGCTCAGACATATGGT